TGAGCACAGAGACTTTTTCAGTTGCAGCTTTGTTTTTAATATCAAAAGACTGGGGATGACCTAATGTTTGTCAGAAAGGTGTAGTTGGGATAAATTCAGTAGTGTACTATGGAATTGTCAAAAAGAATGATGTAGAACTATATTAGTTGACATGAAAAGATATATATTAGTTGACATGAAAAGGTGAAAGAAGAAAAGTACAGGTTGATATAGTATGGTTCTATTTGTGTATCTGTTGAAAAGGATATTTGTATGCTTATTATCATAACATACTGGAAGAATCACAAGAAACTGTTGACATCTTTCAGGGAAGAATTAACTGGCGGGAATTGGCAGGGAGACATTTATTCTTTGTACTATTTATATAAATTGTTTTTATAATGATAACAAAATTACAAATCCAAAAGAAGATTTAAAAAACGAATTGTGCTATAAAAAAAAGACCAACCTAATTTTTGGTTTAATTTTGATTTTTGGGGTGTATTTCTTCAGAACCAGGACAATCCTGTGATTGATGAAACAGACTTCCTTGAAGCTTTTAAAAATATTCAACCTTCATCATTTCGAAGCGTCATTGGATTGATGGATATCAAGCCTGTTGACTGGGAGCAGATTGGTGGCCTTGAAGATGTAAAACTGAAGTTAAAACAGGTAAGACAGATAATCTACTTAATCCAGTAGGATATTACAGATTAACATTCTGTGCATTTATGATGACAACATACTGCACTGAAACTACTCTTTCTGCTATCACTAATGTGATCCTAACATCTAAATCCAATGATTGCTTTTCAGTCCTTATTTAACTGGACTTCTAAGGATGTCTAAATTGGTTTTTATAATTTCTCACCTCGACCCTCTCTTTTTTTGTTTTTGCATTAAAGAGTTTATAACCTAAGGCTGGGTGTGGTGGCTCATATCTATAATCCCAACACTTTGGGAGGCCAAGGGAGGAGGATTGCTTGAGTTCAGGAGTTCAAAACCAGCCTGGGCAACATAGCAAGCCCTTGTCTCTATTTAAAAAGAAAAAAGTTCATAACCTAAGGCTGGGCACGGTGACTCATACCTGTAATCCCAGCATTTTGGGAGGCTGAGGCGGGTGGATCACCTGAGGTCAGGAGTTAGAAACCAGCCTGGCTAACATGGAGAAACCCCGTTTCTACTAAAAATGCAAAAAATTAGCCGGGCATGGTGGCACGTGTCTCTAATCCCAGCTACTCGGGAGGCTGAGGCAGGAGAATCGCTTGAACCCGGGAGGTGTAGGTTGCAGTGAGCCAAGATTGCGCCACTGCACTCCAACTTGGGCAACAAAAGTGAAACTCCATCTCAAAAAAACAAAAACAACGTATAGGCCGGGTGCGATGGCTCACACGTGTAATCCCAGCACTTTGGGAGGCTGAGGCGGGAGGATCACGAAGTCAGGAGTTCAAGACCAACCTGGCTAACATGATGAAACCCTGTCTCTACTAAAAATACAAAAATCAGCCTGGTGTGGTGATGCAATCCTGTAATCCCAGCTACTCGCGAGGCTGAGGCAGGAGAATCACTTGAACCCAAGAGGCAGAGGTTGCAGTGAGCTGAGATCGCACCACTGCACTCCAGCCTAGGACAGAGTAAGACTCCATCTCAAAAAAAAAAAAGAAAAATCAATTTATAATCTAAAACGGGTCAACAAATTTTCTGTAGAGAGAGCCACACAGTAAATGTTTTAAACTTCACAACCACTCATCTCTGCCATTGTCGCACCAAAGCAGCTGTAGACCATATGTAAATGAGTAATTGTATTCTGATAAAATTATGGACACTGAAATTATATAATTCTCACATGTCAGAAAATATTCTTTTGATATTTCTTCAAGCATTTAAAAATGTAAAAATTCTTCTTAGTTTGGCTGTACCAAATATAGGTGGAAGGCCTTAGTTTGCCTGGATATCTGATCTAAAAGACATTAAATGGACGTAGTACAGGGACTGGTAAAAGCACAAATTTGAAATGAACAAGATGGTTACCTGATAGTGGATTTCACAGCTCTTCAGATCGCAACTCTTTAGATCCTCTCACCTGCATTACAGTTTCAGAAACTGATTTTGCCAATTCGCCTACATGTGATCCTGCCCTAATGAACTAGGTTTCTCTAACCACACACATAACAGACTGATATATAAGTAATAATTATAATTTTTTCATCTTAGCCAGGAGCTCTATCTCCAGTGAACCCTAGAATTTTTGAGTCCATGGATAAGAGCATTTATAATAGGTGCCAATATTTTTTATGCATTGTCTTATTTAATCTTTACAAGATGCATGAGAGAAATTAGCCACACCTTCCTCTTGGAAGCACTCTGTTTCCTTTGCTTTGAGACATTAAGCTTTTCTGCCTTTCTGGGCACCCCTCTCCCCTGCCTTAAATGTTAGTGCTCAAGAGGCTCCCGGAGTCCTCTTGTTGGAGCTGTGGGTGGTTTTATGATGATCTTGATGTCCGCAGCATCAACTGACCCCTGAAAACTGTTGACTCAGAAATCTGTATATCTAGAGTAGACGTTTCTTCTGATCATCAGAACTACTTCACTGCCTGCCTACTGGATAACCCCAGAGATGTCAAACTCAGCATGTCCAAAGTTCAGCTAGTCAGCTCTTCCCCCACACTTGGATCCCCTACCTCAGTTAATACAGCTAGCCACCCCATCCTCTAAGTCAGAAATCTGTCTTCTAAAGGCATAGCATTAGAACTTTGTCCTTATGTAAAGTACAATTCTGTTTTATGTTTCAAATATCCATCCCTTCCACACCATCTTCACTGCTTGTGACACTCCAGCCTTATTATTTTTGTAGACTGAATCATTGCAAGAAACTTCTAACTGGTCTCCTTGCCTCTAGTTTCATTTCCTTCCAGTCCATTCTTCATACTACTTCCTCAGTGCAGACTAAAGCTTTCAAGGCCTGTTGTGATCTGGCTCCTATCTCCACTTCAACGCCATTACTTAACTTTGTTTAAGCCTGAGTTTTTGCATCTGTAAAATAATGATTAAAATGGCTAAAAACCATTTACCTTAAAGGTAATGAGGACTCATTCACTATTGAGTTTACTACTACTGAGTGCCTCCTTTGGGTAGGTGTCATTCTAGGTGCTGGGGATTTTAAGGTGAGCTTTGCTTATGTTCTAGCAGAGTAGAATGACAAACCCAACGTGGAAAAATAATAATAGTGAATAAGTGCTTTAAAAGTAAAGGATAGGCAGTAGCATAGAGAATGAGTAGGAGGAGGGGGGCTTACGCTTTAACCAGCTGGTTAGGAAAGACCTCTCCAAGGAATTGACACCTGTGCTGAGACCTGAGTGATGAGGGATAGCCACATGAAGATCTCAGGGGAACGTTCAGGTAGAGAGGAAAGCGAGGAAAGCAAGGAAAGGCTCTGAGATGGGAACAAACTAAGTGTTTAGAAGATAGTCAGATTATATAAGGCCTTGTCAACTGTGGTGAGTAAGGAGTTTTGATTTGGATTTTATTCTCATTCTAATAGTAAATCATTGAAGGATTTTAAACAGGAAGTGATGTCACCTGACTCAAATTATAAGCTCTCTGCAGTGTGGAGAATGGACTGTTTCCAGCTCATGACAGGAGCCTGAGAATTGTTAAATGAACAAATGAATTTACTGGATGATTTGACATTTTATTATTACACTAAAACAACTCTTCTCTTTTTGTGTACTTTCAGAGCATAGAGTGGCCTCTGAAATTCCCTCGGGAATTTGTTAGGATGGGCCTGATGCAACCGAAGGGAGTTCTCCTCTATGGGCCCCCTGGATGTGCTAAAACCACTCTGGTGAGGGCCCTGGCCACAAGCTGTCACTGCTCTTTTGTTTCAGTGAGTGGAGCTGATCTGTTTTCACCATTTGTTGGAGATTCAGAAAAAGTCTTATCTCAGGTTTGTTTATTTCCCCATATGTTTAAATTTACTTTTGAATTTTTATTTCATTTCTTATGGACAAACATTTTTTAAAATATTACTAATGTTTTTTCCAGTTAAAAAAGTTATACATGTTTATTGAAAATTTAGAAAATATAGGAAAGTGTAAATATGAAATCCTTCGTAATCCTCCTACCTACTATTAACATTTTGGTTAATTTCCTTTGTCTTTTTTTTTCTGTTTTAAATAAAATCAAGAGTAGGTTTTATATATCTATAGCTTTATCCTGCTTTTTAAAACTTAATATTACCACTTTTGAAATTCCATAGCGTCAATTCTTTGAAAATACGGTTTTTAACTCTTACATAATACTCCATTGTTTCTTGTTTTATTTACTCGTTCCCCAATTCCTAGACATTCAGAATCTTTTTTTATATATTTTAAAAATTATAAATAGTGGCCAGGTGTGGTGGCTCATGCTTGTAATCCCAGCACTTTGGGAGGCCAAGGCGGGTGAATCACTTTAGGCCAGGAGTTCGAGACCAGCCTGGCCAACATGGCGAAACCCCATCTCTACTAAAAATACAAAAAAATTAGGTGGGTGTGGTGGCGCACACCTATAATCTCATCTACTCGGGAGACTGAGGCACAAGAATTGCTTGCGCCTAGGAGGCAGAGGTTGCGGTGAGCTGAAATTGCACCACTATACTCCAAACTGAGCAACAGAGCAAGACTGTCTCAAAAACAGAATTATAAATAGTAATGTGGAAAGCATACATTCACATGACTAATGTATAACATATAGCTTTTTAATATTTTTTTCCTAACAAAAGATATTTCGACAAGCAAGAGCAAGTACTCCAGCAATTGTGTTTTTGGATGAAATTGATTCAATCTTGGGAGCTCGCTCAGCCAGCAAGACAGGATGTGATGTTCAAGAACGAGTTCTTTCTGTTCTCCTGAATGAATTAGATGGTGTTGGACTTAAGACAATAGAGAGAAGAGGAAGTAAATCAAGTCAACAGGGTAAATACAAGGAGCTGAAAAAATGAAGAGGTATTTATTAGCCAGAACGCACCTAAAATCCAGGCCAACATTAAATAGAATGCATATATGCTATAGCTTTACTTACGCTGAATTCATCTCGTAGAAGGATTTATTATAATTTCAGTTTGACTTTGTTAGGGCTTTTAGAGCTAATAAAAATTGTGATTTGGCTAGAAAAGGTGAGGTACATCTTATAATAAGTTATCTTAAGTATAATAATGTAAATTTTATTTTTCCTAAGAATGAGAAATATAGTTTTCTTATTGCTAATAGAGAAGGCAGTTTATTCTTGTTTCCGTGTCCTAAGAAACCAGTATTCATTTCTTTCTAAAAATTTTTATGTAGGCTGGGCACAGTGGCACACCCCTATTATCCCAGCACTTTGGAAGGCCAAGGCAGAAGGATTGCTTAAGGCCAGGAGTTTCAGACTAGCCTGGCCAACATTGCAAGGCCCCATCTATGAATGAATGAAGGAAGGAAGGAATGAATGAATGACAAAGGATATTATTTCCAATAGTCTTAGTATGGAAAATTTCCAGTTTTCTTGAGAAATGGGTTTCTTTGGTTTTAATGAATTAAAATGGCCTTTGGAAGTCCCCTCCCTGTCTTTCTGAGTCTCTTCTCCAGAGTTTGGTATCCCTAAATTATCCCTGATATTTTTCCTTTTCTTTTATTCCTCTCTTGTTGTCACTGATTTCCTATTTTTAAAATTGTTGCATGGGATTGTTGCATACACTCCTTAGGAACATGTCATACTAGAATTAGGAGGTACCCACGAGGTTATCTAATCAAATCATTCCATAATACAGGAATTCCTTCTATAACATCTGACAGGTATTTACCTAGCATCTGCTAAAATACTTGCAAACATACGGAACTTAGTACTTTGAGGGATTATGTCACTGGAGAGTTGCCTGAGTATTCAACAAATGATTTTGAATGCTTAGTATATGTAAAGCCTTTCTCTGTCTGCTTTTAGACATTTCTTTATCCAGGATTTGCATACCTGCAACTTAGATTGTCATTTCACAGACAAATAAAAAGCCCAGTAAATCTTCGACTCTTTAGGGATATGAGAGTCAAGACTTTTCTGTAACCATATATCTCTACCCGTTGGTCATATGTATCTGTCTTTTCAAGTAGCCCGTTTAAGGTGTAATCCTTCATTGGAGGCTCAGGTGCACTCAAGTCACCAGATGAGTGTTCTTCTCTTTGGGATAAGGCTTTTCATAAGTTTTCATATGGAGAATATCTCTTAGGTACTCCCTTAGCCATGCACACGAAGTACTTCTTCGATTAATGATTTGTTTCTGGGATATCTTGATATCAAGAAGCTGGTCTGGAAAGGGGATATAAGCGTTCTGGTCCCAAGAAAAGGATATCCCTATTTCAATTTAAATAGATCTTCTGATTTATAATTTTTAAAAAACTCACAACTGATTGAAATTACTTTTTGTTGTGTGTTTGCCCTCAGAGTTTCAAGAAGTTTTTAACCGAAGTGTCATGATTGTTGCAGCAACAAATAGACCTGATGTGTTAGATACTGCTTTGTTACGACCTGGAAGATTAGATAAGATCATCTATATTCCACCTCCAGATCACAAGGTAATCACTGTAAACATTTACTGTGTGTGAGCTCAGCAGAATGGAATTCCAGTCTGGATATAGGTGTCCATGGTGTTCTACTCACCCTGGGTTCCACCTTCCTTGCCTTCCTTCCTTCCTTTCATTGCATCATAATTTTGATCTGCCTTTGTTGGATACTCTGATCCTGTTCACAGAGAAACATAAGGCTAAATATAAGGTGGTTATTGTATGTGTTGTGGCAGACTCTAAATACGGAGTCAACTCAGCATTATTTTGCAGCTAGAGTAAAGGAATCGTAAAGTGTTAAAAGAGCTTTGAAGATTGAGTCAGCATCCTTAGAGTACAGTGCAGAAGTCGGAAATCACAGAGATTATGCTGTGTATCGTGGCCAACCAGTAAATTTGTTGTCCTTGAAGTACAGTGCAGAAACCTGAGATATCAGAGATTATGCAGTGTATCATGGTCAACCAGTACATTTTTTGTCGTTAACAGCCAGAGCCACTGACAGGCAGGGTGAAAGGCACAGAGTGAATTTTTTTGTTCCTTGAGCTTTTATCAAGTTTTGAAGGGATAGAAAAATAAAATTTATTATCTGTTATACCTTTAAGTTATATCTGATAATTCATGTATTTGCTTCTTAAGCCATGTCTAATAGTATTATTTGTACCCAAAAGAGAGATTCAGCTGGGCGTGGTGGCTCATATCTATAATCCCACACTTTGGGAGGCCAAGGCGGGCAGATCACCTGAGATCAGGAGTTCGAGACTAGCTTGGCCAACATGGTGAAACCCCGTCTCTACTAAAAATACAAAAATTAGCTGGGTGTGGTGGCAGGCTCCTGTAATCGCAGCTACTCGGGAGGCCAAGGCAGGAGAATCACTTGAACCCGGGAGGCAGAGGTTGTAGTGAGCCAAGATCGTGCCACTGCACTCCAGCCTGGGCGACAGAGCAAGACTCTATCTCAAAAAAAAGAGAGATTCATAAGTTTTTTATGATGTCATGATTTTTACCATTGTCATATGGGCCATTGATGACTTAGTCCTTCTAACCTCTGTATATACTTTCTCGGTAATGTGAAAGAAAACTCAAGCTAAAAATATTTTAATAAATCATTGTGTCAAACATAAATGTTATAAGATTTAAAATACTGTTTTTTATTTTGTTCCAGGGCAGGCTTTCTATTTTAGAAGTCTGTACAAAAAACATGCCAATAGGTCCTGATGTCTCCTTAGAAAACCTAGCAGCAGAAACCGGTTTTTTTTCTGGAGCTGATCTTAGAAACCTCTGCACAGAAGTAAGTTAATTAGTGAAGAAATTTGTGGTTCAAAACATTTCTTCATCTTTTCAAATCTTCATTCACTCAGCAGTATTTACTAAAAGCCTGTGTGGTACAGGCTTACGAAAAAAAGTTTTTCGTAAACTTTTACTAAATATAACATTCAGAAAAATGCACGGATCATAAGGGTACAGTTCATTGAATTAAATGATCACATTTTTATAATCACTACTTATTTCAGGGAATAGAACATTATCAACACCCCAGAATCTTCCTTTGGGTCCTTTCCCAACCTCTGTCACCTACCTTCTTCTGAAAGAGAACTATTGGCTGGGCTTAGTGACTCATGCCTGTAATCCCAGCACTTTGTTGGGGTCAAGGCAGGAGGATCATCTGAGCCCAGGAGTTGAGACCAGCCTGGGCAACAATGGGGAGCCCTTGTCTCTAAAAAAATTTTTTTAAAATTGTCCCGGCTACTCAGGAAGCTGAGGTGGGAGGATCACTTGAGCCTGGAGGTCAAGGCTGTAGTGAGCCATGATTATGTCACTGTACTTCTGCCTGGGTGATAGAGCAAGACTCTGTCCGCCACCAAAAAAAAAAAAAAAAAAACACAAAAAGGGAACCACTGTCCTCACTTCCAACAGTGGGGATTAGTTTTGTCTGCTTTTGAACTTTATATGAATGGAAGCATGTGGCATATGTTATTTTCTGTCTGGTTCTTTAACCCAAAAAGAAATTCATCCATGGTTTTGTGTGTAACATAGTTTATAATATTCTAGTACATGAATATTCTACATTTGTTTATCCATTCTTTTATTTTGGAGTATCTGGGTTTCTACTTTTTTGCTATTATGAGTTATGCTGCTGTGAACAGCCTTGTACATGCCTCTTAGTTCCCATGTCTACTTATGTCTATTTGTAAACATACTTAGCTACAAGGAGAATTGCTAGGTCATAGGGTATGTGTTTCATCTATTCCTTTATAATAAGTGCTGGCTGAAGACTTTTCCCTACTTCACCATCAAGAAGGTATTCTCTGATCTTTAAAAGTACATATGGGTTCATAAAATATATATTAATCTACAACTTGCTTTTTCTTTCTTCCCATGTAAGGCTTTCTTTTTTCCCATTAATGTAAAAGAGGTTATGGTATACAAAGTGGATTTTTAATCACCTTATTTAACTTTTTAGCATAATATTTTTAGTGACATGAAAATTAGAATCCTATGAAGTGAGGCTGAGATTTTCCATTCAGAGTTTAAAGTATTACCATATATTGTTAAAAAAAAGAAAAGAGGGCAGGCGCTGTGGCTAACGCCTGTAATCCCAACACTTTGGGAGGCTGAAGCAGGTGGAACACGAGGTCAGGAGTTCGAGACCAACCTGGCCAACATGGTGAAACGCCATCTCTACTAAAAATACAAAAATTAGTCAGGTGTGGTGGCAGACACCTGTAATCCCAGCTATTCGGGAGGCTGAGGCAGGAGAATGGGTTGAAACCGGAAGGTGGAGGTTGCAGTGAGTCGAGATCGCGCCTCTGCACTCCAGCCTGGGCAACAAGAGCGAAACTCTGTCTCAAAAAAAAAAGCAAAAAGAAATTGTTTTCTATTGCTTGTCTCTTAATAGGCTGCTTTGCTGGCTCTGCAAGAAAATGGACTAGACACAACTACAGTGAAACAAGAGCACTTTCTAAAATCACTTAAGACTGTAAAACCATCGTTAAGTCGCAAGGACTTGGCTTTATATGAAAATTTATTTAAGAAAGGAGGATTTTCTAACTTGGAAGGTATTTAAAAATCACCTTACACCCTTGTTCAGTTGTTCACGTTAATTGAAATGTGAACTTGCCTGTCGTTTGCAACTTCACACTTTTAGAATTTGTGTTTGTATTTCCTGTAAGTAAATAAATAAAAACAAAAAAACAAAAACCACAAAACCTTGTGCCTGATAAGCTAAGGCTCATTTATTTTTAAAAGGCATATTAAATAAAATACTGTAATTTAGGAAGAAAGTATGTGTGTGTTGATTTTTGTTGTAAGGCGTGGTTGGTTTTGGGTGATTGCTTTTTTATTAAACCCTGAAATAATTTCATACTTACAGAAAAGTTGCAAAAATAGTACAAAGAATTTTTATGTGCTCAAACCCAGATTCACTGATTTTTAACATTTTGCCACATTTGCTTTCTCTGTCTTCCCCACCCCTTGTACATACACACATACACACACAGTTTTTTTTTGAGTGGTTTGAGAATAGATTATATACATAATGTCCCCTCCCCCCCTTAATACTTGAGTGTATATTTGTTACAAATAAGGTTATTATATGACTAAATTCAGGAAATTTAATACTGACACAGTATTCTAATCTATCATCCAGTGAATTTCATGTATTGTCACAATAACGTCCTATATGATAATTTTCCCCATTACAGGATCCAGTCTAGGATCACACATTTCATTTAGTCACCATGTCTCTTTAGCCTCTTAACTTGAAACAGTTTCTCAATCTTTCTTGACCCTGACATTTTTGAAGAGTATAGACCAATTATTTTACTGAACAGTTTGTTCCTGGACTTGTAGTTGATGTTTTGTCATGGTAGATGTAGGTTATGTATTACCAGTGGAGCATACATAGGGGCATTGTGTTCTCAGAGCATCACAGCTGAAGGCACATGTCGTCTGTACATTATTGATGTTAATTTTGATCATTTGTTTGCAGTATTGTCTGGTTTCTCCACTATATTGCTATTTTTCCTTTTGTAGTTGTAAGTAGTTTAAAGTTTTTAAAGAGACAGGTTACATGTACATTTTTATTTTCATTTATTACAAAATAATTTAGAATACTAGAAAATACAAAAACATAAAAAAATCCTTTAGTGTTTAACCTTCCAGTCCTTCACGCATGTATAGATAATTTTTAAAACCAGAAAGGAATGATACCGCATAACTCTTGTTCTTCTCACCTAACAATATCTGGTAAACATCTTACTAGGCCATTCTCCACTCACAAGGTGCTAAGCTGGGTGCTGGAACATCCAGTGAACAAGGCAGGCATCAGACAAATTGTCAGTGAATTAATTACAATGGTAAGAAGTGCTTCAAAAGAAGTAGGGGGTATGATGAGAGACTACTGCATGAAATGTGTGAAGTCATAAAATGTTAAGGAGTTATTGGAAAGTTTCCTATTGCTGAGTGCAGCCAGGACTATTGGGAATAATTAAGGAAAAAACCTGATTTATAGGTATAAAATACTCAAAATTATTCTAACACACTGACCTTTGCTTTTGAGTATAGGAAAATACCTAGAAAACTTACTGGAATTCTTACTATACATTTTCTTTGTTGGTTATTGATCTTATTGAACAAGGCAGCCATCCTGCACCTGACAAACCCTGGCCTGAACCCCTTAACTCAGACATCTAGCTGTGGGCTAGAGGTCTTTCTTTTCCAGAAAGTTTCTAGTAGGCTGGTAATTTAGCAACCATGCTTGTTCAAGGCTGAGCTGATTTGAAGATGTCTTTTTAAATTGTAATTAAAGTCAACGCTCCACATCTGTGGGTTCCACATGGGCAGATTCAACCAACTGTGTGGGTTGAAAATACTTGAAAAAACAAAAACAATACAACAATAAAAAATAGGCCAGGTGTGGTGGCTCACACCTATAATCCCAGCACTTTGGAAGGCCGAGGCGGGCAGATCACCTGAGGTCAAGGGTTCAAGACCAACCTGGTCACCATGGTGAAATCCTATCTCTACTAAAAATACAAAAAATTAGCTGGGGCATGGTGGGGTGCGCCTGTAATCCCAGCTACTCTGGGCTCAGGCGGGAGAATTGCTTGAACCCAGGAGGCGGAGGTTTGCAGTAAGCCAAAATCACACCACTGCACTCTGGCCTGGGTGACCAAGCAAGATTCTGTCTCAAATAAATACAAATTTTAAAAATCATAAATAAAAAACAACAGTGTAACAATTGCTTGCATAGCATTTATATTATATTAGGTGTTATAAGTAATTTAGAGATGTTTTTTAAAGTATAACCAGGAGGACGTGTGTAGGCAACCTGCATATACTACACCATCTTTTATCAGGGACTTGAGTATTCTTGGATTTTGGTGTCTGAGCGGGGTCCTGGAACCAATTCCCTGCAGATATAGAGGGAGGACTCTGTAACTTCTCAGCAGAACATTGGAAGCTTCCTGAGCACAAAGACTATGTGTCTCTTCTCACTGAAATGCTCAATAGATGACATAATGAGATCAAGAATTTCTTTGATCCTGTTCCAATCTGATTTTAGAATGGCTCTGGGCAACTTCCAAAAGCTATATTCTTGATCTGCGAGAAAGTTAAAACACCAGCTTCTAACACCCTTCTTCTGGTATACCGGGAACTGTAAACAGTTTTCCCTATAAACTGAACTCAAACTGCTTTCTGGACCACATTATTGCTTAAGGCTGACTAACCTTAAACAATATAGAACGTCCCTGGAACCCCCAAAATTCAGCAAATCCAGTGTTATACGCCTGGTCATAAGGCAGCCACTGAAGGATGAGGTGTCAGGATGAGCACATCCACCATCAGGAACAGGGAGAAAGAATTTCAACAAAAAATATTTAATAATGAAATATTCTCTTTTTCTCATAAAAGCCCGAGCTGGGCTGATTAAAATCTAAATTCCTGGCCGGGCATGGTGGCTCACGCCTGTAATCCCAGCACTTTGGAAGGCTGAGGCGGGCGGATCACCTTACCTGACTCAGGCTGGTCAGGAGTTCGAGACCACCCTGGCTAACATGGTGAAGCCCTATCTCTACAAAAATTAGCCAGGGGTAATGGTTCACGCCTGTAATCCCAGCTACTTGGGAGGCTGAGGCAAGAGGATTGCTTGAACCCGGTAGACACAGGTTGCAGGAAGCCAAGATCGTGCCACTGCACTCCAGCCAGGGCAACAGAACGAGACTCCATCTTAAAAAAAAAAAAAAAATCTAAGCAGGAACCAAGCAGCCATGTCTCCCTGCCCCTGCAAGCCTAGGTGATAGTAGCTCGAGAAAGGCTCTACAAGTTGCTGGTAACTGGGGGTGGGTGGGGAAGACCCCCCAAGGGATTATGGGCTCTGGGGCAGCCACAGAAGGTGATGCTGGTGAGTGTCCTGAGTGGACTTCTTTGGGGGCTGCCAGGGTCTGAAGGGCTGGGAAGTGCCTGTTTCTCATCCTGGTCACCTAGGCAGTACTGGCCTGGTGGTGCCTTCTGGGCACCCTGGCCAGTACACAGGGTTTGGGGGCAGGGAGGACCCTAATTTCATGTCTATTCTCCAGTTGCTAGTGGTGAGGCTATGAATTCCATTACATTTTGGAGTGGGAAGTATTCTTATTGCTAAAGAACTGAATGACAAACTTCTTTTCTAGGGTCTTGACTTCACAACCTCAGGCAAAAGGGCAGAAAATCTGAAGGTTCTTGAGTCACATACAGTTGACCCTTGAACAACACAGGTTTAAACTCCTTGGGTCCACTTATTATTAATTACTTTTTAGATGGAGTCTCACTTTGTCACCCAGGCTGGAGCGCAGTGGCATGATCTCGGCTCACTGCAACCTTCGCCTCCTGGGTTCAAACGATTCTCCTGCCTCAGCCTCCCAAGTAACTGGGATTACAGGCACCCGCCACCACACCTGGCTAATTTTTATATTTTTAGTAGAGACAGGGTTTCAACATGTTGGTCAGCCTGGTCTCGAACTCCTGACCTCAGGTGATCCGCCTCTTGGCCTCCCAAAGTGCTGGGATTTGCGTGGGTCCACTTGTATGTGAATTTTCTTCCACCTCTGCCACACTGAAGTAGCAAACCAACCCCTCCTCTTCTTCCTCCTTCTCAGCCTACTCAATTTGAAGAGATGGAGACCTTTCTGATGACCCACTTTTGCTAAATGAATAGAAATATATTTTCTGAGCCAGGCACAGTGGCTCATGCCTGTAATCCCAGCTACTCGGAAAGCTGAGGCAGGAGAATCACTTGAATTTAGGAGGCGGAGGTTGTAGTGAGCTAACATTGTCCCACTGCACTCCAGCCTGGGTGACAGAGCAAGACTCCGTCTCAAAAAAAAGAACTATACTATCCTGGCCAACGTGGTGAAACCCTGTCTCTACTAAAACATAAAGAAATTAGCCACCATGGTGGTGTGCACCTGTAGTCCCAGCTACTCGCGCTGGGATCTTGCCACTGCACTCCAGCCCGGGCGACAGAGCAAGACTCCGTCTCAAAAAAAAAAAAAGAACGATATTTTCTTTTCCTTATGATTTTCTTCATAACATTGTTATTTTCTCTGGCTTGCTTTATTGTAAGACCTTTAGATAAAAAGCAAAATATGTGTTAGTCAACTGTTTAGGTTATCAGTAAGGCTTCTGGTCAATACTGGGTTATGAGTAGTTAAATATTGGGGGAGTCAAAAATTATATGCAGATTTCTGTGTGGAGAGCAGGGGTGTGTAAGTTCCCCTAACCCCCAAGTTGTTCAAGGGTCAACTGTATTTGTTTTGGCGACAATTTTTTGTTGTTGTTTGTTTAAGAAATAGGGTTTTGGGCTGGGCGTGGTGGCTCACGTCTGTAATCCCAGCACTTTGGGAGGCCAAGGCGAGCAGATCACTTGAGGTCAGGAGTTTCAGACCAGCCTGGCCAGCATAGTGAAACCCCATCTTTACTAAAAATACAAAACAAAAAAAAAGCCGATGTGGTGACACATGCTTGTTAATCCCAGCTACTTGAGAGGCTGAGGCAGGAGAATGGCTTGAACCCGGGAAGTGAAGGTTGCAGTGAGCCAAGATCACACCATTGCCCTCCGGCCTGGGCAATAAGAGTGAAACGCTGTCTCACTGCAGGCTGGAGTGCAGTAGCACAACCATGGCTCACTGTAACCTTAAGCTCCTGTGCTCAAGCAATCCTCTCGCCTCAGCCTCCCAACTAGTTAGGACTAAAGGCCTACACCACCATACCCAGCTAATTATTAAAATTTTTT